GTCAGAGCTTAGGGTTGTTTTTTTTCCTTTTTTTTTTCTTTTTTTTTTCTTTTCCTTTTTTTTTTTTTTTTTTTTTTTTTTTTTTTTTTTAATGAAAGCATCTGGCCTCCATGACATGCTCTGAAAAAAAATACCCCATATATTTTGCAACGTGTTAAAAAGCTGTGCTGGGCTGCAGAGCTCTGCTTCCTCCCAGGGCCTGGGATCAGTTGGCATGGTGTGTTTTTATAGAGGGGGTGATTCTCCTCCACCTCTAACCCGGTGGGGGGAAATTGGGTTGTTAAAAGGCAAATGAGAGAGTTTTGCCTGGTTTTTTTGGGGGGTTTCTTCTCCTGCTGTTAATTTATAGAAGCAGGATTGGCCCTGCTTGGGCCTGGCCAGACAGCTGAGACAGGCAGGTGGATGGGTAGGGGGTTATAGCTCCCAGGGCACGGGGGAAGAGTGGGAAAAAGGGAAAAGCTCAAAGATTTAGTCAAAAAGCACTTTATAGTTGGGCTGCACCAGCCTGCACAGAGCCCCTGCCTGCTCTCCCAGCCAGGGCTGGCGTCACCACCCGGGATTTTGCCTCTGTCTCTGCTGGTGGGGACAGTCAGCAACAGTCAGCAACCCTAGGAGGGCTGGGTATTCACTGCCTGGTGAGGATATTTTCCTGGAAGCTGACTTTTGGTGAGGAGAAATGTGTTCAGACTCCCTGGAGGATGCAGTCCCAGCTGACTGCAGCTCCCATCCTTATCTGCCACCCCTGCACTGTGAGGAACTGCTGTCAGGAGGAAGCTCACTGGTGCAGCAGGAGCTTGTATCTCCTCTTCCTCACCGTGCTGTGGGGGCCAAACGCTCCCTTTCCCATGTGGGTCTCTTTCCTTCCCTTTGATTTAAACCCAAGTCAGGGTTAAAGCCAAGGATGTCACCTGAGGAGGGCACAGCAGCACCTGTAGGGATGGCCAGGAGACATGGATGTGGTCCAGCACGGGCGAGGTGTCCAAGGAGGAGGAGGAAGAGGAGGAGGAAGGCTGGCAGAAGTCACCATTGGGGCCACCTGGGCTGCAGGACAAAACCATGGTGGCTGCAGGGACTTCTGAACTCACTCGTGAGCAGAGCCCTCCCTTTGAGCATCCAGGTGTCCAGCACCTTTGGCACCTTTGTGGACAACCTTGTAGAGAGCCCTCTCCCACCCCAGTTGTGGCTGAGCCAGCTCTCCTCTCTGTCCCTGCTGGGACCCTGGGCCACCACTCCTGCCCAGCTGCTGGTGGCTGCAGGGATAATGTCACGTAGGAACCGTGTTTCAGGAAAGAGCAGGAGGTGCAGTGCTGGAGGGCTGAGCCCTCCCCAGGCTTTCTCAGCCCACAGGGCAACAGGGGAGGTTACACAGCATCAGCCACAGGCTTGGAAAGCATCATCACCTTGCTTATGGATCACAGCTGTGCTCCCATGTCAGTCCTCCTTCGGGGGTTTGTGATCTCCCGGTTCTCTGCCAGGCTGCTGCACACTGAGTTATCCCCTTGAAGCCCAAGGCTGCTATTCAGCACCTGCAGAGATGCTCCAGTGACTGCCAGAGCCAGAAGTAAAGTTGGACACTGCCACTGACCTCTCCTTGTGATCACTGAGCCCCACCCTCCGTCCTTTTTCTGTGCTTTTTCCAGCAATGGCTTTTTCCACAGCAAGACATGGACAACCTTGACTGAGGAACATCTCCTGGAAACACCTGACCAGGGATCTTCCTCGTTTCCAAATCCCTGCAAAGGTCTGAACCTGCTCAGTGTCCTGGTCCAAGGCCGGGGTCTCATGAGGAGCTCCCTCCTTGCACTGCCCCTGAGCAGATGTGCTGGAGCCCCACACGGGTCTTTCCTACCTCCAGATTCCAAGTGCTTGGAGATAAGGAGCAGTCCCAGTGTTTTGCTCCAGACTGGGGCTCATCTTCTCTTAAAACCTGGGGCTGCCTGAGGGTCCTGGTGCAGAAGCACCAAGTTGCCCATCCAGTGAGGGAAGGAGAGCAGAGGGGCTGGAGGGTTCCTTTGGCTGAAGCATGAGCTGCTCTCTGGACATGTGGATTGGAAAGAATATTCATCCCATGTCCTGGGACTGCAGCCTGGGGCTTTAGCACTGTTTGGGAACAGGCAGTTCCCTGTCCTGCCCCCTACAACACCTCGTGCATGGGGCTCTGCCCTGTGCTCGGGCCACCCCCGAGGCTGGAGGCACCAGCTGTCCCAGGGTTTGAATTCTCTCTGTGCTTGTGGCTTCAAGGGAAAAGACAGGTCCAGTGTACACAAATCCACCCGTTTTTTTTAAGATTTTCTGATCACTTTAAGAGTTCACAGGTGCTGGGGCAGATGTTGCTGCACCAACATCCCCAGGAGCTGCTCTGTCTGTGCTTGTTTCACAACCACGCCCTGGGAGATGCTGGTCCTCCCTAGGACACAGAGGAGGACAAGCAACCTGCTCCCTGCCACTGCTCTGGGTAGCCCTGTGTCATTCCCAGGGCTGCCAGCACAAGGAATGCCCTGGTTCTTGCTGTTACAGCCACTCCTGCAGCCCCCGTGGGCCTTGGGTTACCACATCCATTCTCCCTGGGAACCAAGGGCTGTGTGTGGCAGCAGAGCTGGAGAGCATCTCCCAAGTCTGTGGTGGCCTTAGAACCTTTGCTGAGACCCTCAGATGCCAGAACTCTTGCTTGTGGTGGGTGGCCTGGGGACAGGGTCAGTTTTGGGGCACCCACCACCCTTGTCCGCTGCCACCCCCAGCCTGGGCTCCGGAGATAAAACCCTTCTTCCTCACACAGCCCATTCAGGTAAAACTTGAAATTCATTTTCTTCTCACCAGCTCAGACGGTAACATCTTTTCCTCTCTTGCCTCGTGTGTTGTTTTTTTTCCAGCTGTTCAGATCCACATCCTGAAAGCGGAAAAAAATGCCGACTGGTGGAAGTTCACGGTCAACATCATCTCCGTCTACAAACAAGGGAGCAACCGGATACGGCGCGGAGACCAGACCCTGTGGATCCACTCCAAGGACATAGCGTGCAAGTGCCCCAAAATCAAGCCCATGAAGAAGTATTTGCTGCTGGGCAACAACGAGGACTCTCCCGACCAGAGCGGCATCATTGCGGACAAAACCAGCCTGGTGATCCAGTGGCGGGATACGTGGGCCCGGCGGCTCAGGAAGTTCCAGCAGCGGGAGAAGAAGGGGAAGTGTAAGAAAGCCTAAAAGGAGGAGAAGGCCACGGAGGGCGCGGGAGGGAGAGACTGACTGTGCATGCTGCTTTGTGTAGAGCTGGGGCGGGCAGGGACCGGCGACGGGGACGCGCCGCCGGGGAGGGCTGGGGGGACGGGAGGGGGATCGCGGCCGTGGGGCTGTCGGGATTGCGCCTCGTGTTCCGGGGGAAAACAAAACTTAAACCCAACAAAAACAACCGTGCACATGGACACAAACCAAGAGGAGTGTGGGTGAGGCACCCAGTGCCTCCCCACGCTTCTTCCTGCCCCCCATTGCCGAAGAACTCAGAGACACCAAACTGCCTTCCAGCTGCCAACATCTGCTGCTTCCAAAGCACGGCATGGGAACATCAGACCTGTAAGAAACTAATCAACAGCAACGCTGGAAATTAACTCCCCATCCCCAAAATACGTATTCGCAGCTTAGGTTGACCAAGACAGTTATTGTAGAGGAAACTAAACAGAGACTTTTCGCCGAGGACAGATCCGAGATCGACTGACGGGTTATCGAAGACTTGGGTACCCCAGAGCCGTAACCACCACTGCTGTGTGGTCCCTGGGGAGGTCTCCAGCCGTGATGATGCTCTGAGCCCAGTTTAGGCACAGCCAAGAGGGGACCTTGTTGGTGGGCAACTTCCCCATGTGCATAACTCGGGGAGCGACTCCTCACTCCAGCCCCCACGCCCTGAGAAGTGCTGTCCCCACCACACTGAAGGAACGTGAGCCCACGGGGTGCCCTCCCAGCCACCGATTCCCAGTCAAGGAATTAATAACCAGGTTCCCCAAGGAAACACCCAGACTCGGCCAAAAACTGGCATCCAGTCCCAGAAGTGCTCCAGAAGATCCCTGAGTCTCCACTGTGGCCACCCCTGAGATCTCCTTCATGGGCTCGGTCCTCTCTGGTGCTGTCAGCAGACCATGAACCCTCAGATGACAGAAAATCTGTGCAGATGACACCCAGGTCCTGGCTGGCCACTGGTTTCACTCCCGAACTCAGGCAGCTCTCCCAAATCCACACCAGCTCTGCCCTCACTCCCTCTGGAGCTGTAGCTCCCTGGCATCCCCGCATAAGGTGGCCACTTCCTTGGAGACAAAGGAGGTGGGACAGTGAGTGCCAGGGACTGTCCCTGTGGGGTCAGGGTAGAGCTCTAAGGCTTGGCTGAGGTGGAGCCTGTGCAGGGCAGAGACCTGCCCGAGGGAAGGGACTGGATGAACAAGGTGTAACCCACCTGGAGCCCCTCAAACTGTTCTCCTCCTTCTGCTGGGGGTGAAAACTCCGAATTTAAATTTCCCAATTTAAATTTCCCAATTTAAATTTCCCAGTTTCAAATCACAAACACAACTAAGCCAGGTAGGGGCTGCCTCACCTCCAACCTGCATCCTGAGGGCAGGACTGGCTGTTGAGCTGTCACCCAGGTACTGCACCCCCATGCCAGGCTGCTCCCCTGCCACACCAGCCCGTGAGGAATGGGGATATCTGAGTTCACCTCATCCAGGGAGACAGGAAAGGCAGGGAGGGCAGGACGGGTACCTGGAGGAGAAGCAAACATTAGTCGCTATGAAAAGCAAAACCTCCCTGATATTTTTCCTTTTAGGAAACTTGGAAACATCTATTTTATGACATTTTCCAGTGGTTTTGCCTTGTTTTATAGCAATTGACAATATTTATATAATGACATAAACCACCATAAAGCGAGGCAGCCATGTAAATAGGTGCAAAGTGGAGGCTCCCAGGGAAGCTCCAGCCAGCACTGGGCTGCTGGAGACACCACCCGGAGGGAGCAAGCTCTGCTGAGCCTCCCCCTGCCACCACAAGGCCCTCCAAAATTAGTCTGGGTATTAGGAGAAAAATCCCACCCTGGACATCAAGCAAATCCCCCTCCAGTCTGTGTTTTCTCGCCTTTCCCAGAGTGGACTTGGTTTTTCTCATCTCAGAGCTCAAGGAGAGGTGACAGTTTTGCAACCCAGGGAACCCAAGCCACCAAGTTTTGAGGAACAAAAATCTGACCTCAAGTGTCTAAATGGAGACTTAAAGCCCCCAAGTGGGGGTTGGATGCTCTCCTGCAGCCAACATCAGCTGATGCCAGGGACACCCCACCAGCTGGAGACAGCATGTCCTTGGTTATTTGGGATGTCTTGAACCACAGGAGACCTTCAAATGGCCTAAAACCAACGGGATCCAACCCAAAGCCAGTTCACTTGGAGTGCAGGAAGGCAAGGCCAGGGGACATGAGGACTTGGGAACTGCCCACTGAGCACACCTGGACTCCCATTTTCCAGCCTTGTCAAGCACAGCCACCCTCCCCAGCACAGCCTTGACCCAGGGACACCACCCAGCCCCTTCCCCACTCCCACTGGTCTCAGAGGCTGCAGAAGAACCACCACCCACTCCATGCCATGGCCAGACCCCTCCAGGCACCGACACAACCTGGGAAATCTGAAGGAAAGGAGTTCGCACAGGACATGGAGCAGCTCAGATCCCACGGGGGTGAAGTCCCCATCCCTGTCCCACCAGGACACTGTCCCATCATCCCTGTTGGAGTTTTGCATTTCCAACCAGACCAGGGAAACCCCTTCACTCCATGCACAGTCCCCCAGTGCCCCTCATGCGCTCCCAGTAACCCTGACCCGCAGGAGCTGCTGGTGGAACTGGCACACAGCCTCCCCCACACCCATTTTCGGGGTGCCCAGGGACGCAGCACTTCCCTGCAGCCACCCCCTGCTCCAGGACATCTCCTAGGGGGACACCTCTGTCCAGTCACCCAAAGAGGGACAAGATGCCCCCCTAAACATGCCCTGCACGGCCGGGGGTGCAGCTCTGAGGGGAACCAACTGCACCACGACCAGCAAAGAACCCAAACACCCCCCACAGCCCTGGGGACAGGACAGGGGGCCGGGAGGGCAGTGGGGGTGACCAGGGAAGGGGCTGTGGTGCCTCCAGCAGGGCTTTGGAGAGCAGCTGAAATGCCAAAACAATCATCACTGACGGTAGCACCCGACAAAGTCGCTTCGTCTCGTTTCTGTTCGTCTCGTCGTGTCCGTGCCCTCTCCCCGCACACCCCCCTCGTCCCCTCACAAAACCTGTGTTGTTTTGGGGTTCAACTGTTTTTGTCGATTTTTTTTTTTTTTATTATTTCTGTTAATATCTTGAACTGTAAATGTTGTTTAGTTATGACCATGGCAGACTGCTTTGGGCGATGTTTCTTTACAATGCATACTAATATATTATGGTTATTATATATGAATATATTTAATGACACGTGAAAAAGTTGTGGATTTTCTTATTGTTTTTCCCAGTTGTCCTTTTTATTTTTTTTCTTTCGTTTTTATTTTTTTCCCCCTCTTTGTTTGTTTGTTTGTTAGATTGGCTGTAATTTACCTGAAGGAGCTTGTAACTGTTCAGCACCCACTCGGTAGAACTAAAGTCAGAAACCAGTTGAATAAACTCTTGTAAACTGTAAAAATCTGCATGGATCTCTGCTTCCTCCCACCCCTCAGGCTGGCAAGGGATGGGGAAGTGTCCCCTCTGCCTCCCTGGGTCTGCCATTGTCCCCTTGAGGGACATTGTCCCCTTGAGGGTTGAGGTGGCGCAGCTATTTTTGACTGCCAGTCCCAGCCACGTCCCCCAAATATCCCCCCTGGCACTGCTCCCTGCCCCTGGGGACAGTGGGTCACCATGGGAGACATGGGGGGTGGGATGGGGGGCCCCTCCCAGCACCTCTGCTGCCAGAGGAGACTGAGCCCTGCAGTGAGACAGAGCCAGGGCCTGCCAAAACCTGTGGGACCCCATACAGAGTTGGGGGACAGGTGAGGGGACAGGGCAGAGCCAGAGTCTGGGCTCAGGGGAGCTGCCAACCCCACTCCAGACCTATTTCTGTCCCATGCACAGGCTGCTCACCAGCACTGTCCCCTCCTGCTCATCCTGTGCATCCACCACCCATCGCCCACAGGGCATCAGTGGGGCCAGTGCTGCTGCTGCACCCGAGCCCAGGCCAGGGCTGGTGGCACCGACAGGATGGAAACCTGGAGGAGGGGGGAACTGAGGCAGCAAAACACTTCCAGGGAGAAAAATACAGGCAAAAGGTCCTGCAAACTGCCGAGGGGTCAGACCCCTGACCCTGCCCTCGGCATCACTGGTAATTTATGGATCTAAAAACATCTCGGAGGTCAGAAATCTCAGATCTTTATTGCACAGACAAATGGGCCACAAGTGACACCCCCTCTGCTCCGGGGCCATCGCCTGTGGCTCCGCTGAGGAGCAAATGGGTTTCCCACATTGCTCTGGCTCCAGGCAGGTGGCCCAGTCATCCAAAGGTGACACGGTGGCTCTGGAAAGAGGGGGATGAGCCTATTTCCACTGAGGGCCAGACCCAGAGCAGTTCTCCCAGCCTGGTCCCACCAGGCAGCGTGGGAGACCAGCCATCCATGCCCTGAGCTCAGCACTGAGCTCACACCAGAAATGAGAGCATGTGAAAACGCCCAGCAGCCTCCCAAGGTCACCTCTGTCCTCACACAGGAGCCGGGGACGTTTTACTCAGGGCACTGTGACATCCAAGTGTGTGTAGCACGTACCAGGCCTTCCCCCAGCACTTGTATTTTTGATAAAATAACAACTGGAAGCGACTGAAGTCCTGAGCACATCGTCCAAGAGAGAAAGGGAGGAGTGGAAGGGAAGGCAAAGGGAATGTGTCTCTCCGGGCACATTCCAGGAAGACCTTTGCTTGGAGAAGCCACTGCAGGTTGGCTTCTCCAACCCTGCTGCTCAGAGCCAAAAAACAGCAGCTCTCTCGTATTTTAACCTTCCCTTTTCTTTAGCGGGGCAGGGAGACAGCACAGCTTTCCTCCTCACAGCAGAACGCTGCCAAATCTGCTGCTTTTTAATAAAATTCCTCACCCACACAACACATTAAATGTTACCTAAAGGGCAAGTCTGAGAACCCCTTTGTTCGACATCTCGGAGAGCAAATCCTCGTGTTTCCACCCAACGGGAAAAATGTGCCTGAGGACCCAGTGGGTCAGAAACCGCCTTTTTAAAGGCTCCACCAGAACAAAGTCACAATGTAACGTTGATCGGGATGAGTTACACGTCCATCCTGCCTGTCCTG